GTTGCTTCCATAAACATATCATACAATAAATTTTTTGCTTGCCCGACGAGCAACTGTACATTAGGTTTTTTACTATATGTCGGGATACCAGTCGGCATTGGTAGTGCAGACATATAATCATAGTACATGTTAAGTTGCCGTAGAAAGCCACCTTCACGTACTGTAGGATCTAACAAGCCTGCAACCAAAAAATGTATTGGGAATGAAATAATAATATTTTAATCATTTCTTTAACAAATCTCATACGAAGTTGCCATATTTAGTATGATCCAAAGAACAAAGATCTTTAAAACCCCACATTATGGCTATAGATTGACTTAATACAAGTTAAGCAGTAGGATAATAAATACCGAAAAGCATGTTGGTAGCTTTTTGAAATGTTTCAAGAAATTGAGTAAGTGCACTGCAGTTCAACCAATCATTCGTCGTAACTCAGACGTCACATTCCTTTACGGTTAGGATCACTAAAAAATTCCTCAAAATGCGCCATTTACTCAGTCGTATCATTCAACATTTTATATGTTAAGTTCCGCCGGTTAGGGACGTATGGTTGGAGTCTTTTAGATTTAAGCCCACTAGTTTACAAAATTTAAACCATGCTTTCATTTCATTGGGACGTTTATGTAAATAATTAACAACATCCTTAATTGGCGTGGTCGAATCTTTAAAAACATGATAACCTGCTTGCACGCAAAGATTTAAGACATGACATATACAACGAATATAAAGAAATCTTCCCCCACAAGTGGTAGTACAAATATCAGTAAGTTCACGGATAGATGCAGTATTGGAGTAGCATCATCAAGCAAAATGGAGAACACTTTTTTACCAATTTTATACTTACCCATGATTTTTGAAATCAAACTAGCAATATTAGAAGCATTGTGTCGTTAAAGAAATGCAACGTAATCGATTAAATGTTTTTGGAAAGTATAATTCCATCTATCCCATGACAAGTAATTCCCAAATAGAAGGTATTTTGCCAATGATCAGACCAAATATCAGCACAAATGGATACTCTATCGTTTAAAGATTTAAAAGTTTCTTGCAAAATCATTTTTTTTCACCTACTAATTTCGAATATCGCGAGTAAGAGTAGAACGTGGAACCCGATGGGCGCCAGATTCAAGGTCATTTGAGCTAAATGTTCATACAAATCACTATCACCAAAACTAAAGGAAGAGATGAAACATAAAAAAATTCGGCTAAATGGCGTCTTTAATCTTCATGCGAGTAATGAAATAAAGCTGGCGTACATGTACCAGTCGTGGCGAATGCAGCGCTGCTACTCGGGTTGCGTCTGTGCCGTGTCAATTCCCATTTTTGTCTGATGGTAATTCCTTGAGTGTCGGTTCAACGTTCTGTACCCATCGCTTTTTTTGAAAATGATACTTCTTCTTGGAGTTGACTGGACATCAGTTGCAAACAGTAAAAAGGTGATTCTCACCTTTTACCTGATTGGGCACCTTCGTGTAATGTCGTTCGAACATGGCGAATCCCGACATTTTCGATTGATTGACATGAGTGAAGACAGAGGCTGGATCCGCCTGCGCTTGCGTCTCTTGTTGAGGCTCCGAAGTCCCTCCAAATATATCATCCAAATCGTCGTGATACGGCTATTGCTGCCCATGCTCGTACTCCTCGTGTACGGCCTGTTGGATCTCCTCAGGTTGAATGGACTCAAACATGCGCTCGATTGTCGCGTCATCAATATCATCAGCTACACCGGGAATATTCACATTTATCATTGGTTTCACCATTTCCGGCAGTGGAGGTCTCGAAGAAGATGCGCCGATATTTGTACGCTTTTGTCCGAAGCTTGAACCACGACCACCACGAGAACTCGACATTTTGAAAATGAGAGGGGAGGGAGGGGGGTAGGGGGTATTTGTAGAACAAAATTAGGGTTTTTTTATGTTTCGGTTTTTGTAACTTTTTTTTTTATTGACAGGAACCCGCCTAGTTTCGGGTCACCTGACGGGTCGGGCGGGTTGATCAAGACTATGTTTGGTAAAACTAGCTGATAAGCTAGCTTATAGCTTATTAGTAATTTTCAAGCTTATAGCTGAAAAGCTAGCTTATATGATAAAAGTGTTGGTAAAATTAGCTGATAAGTTAGCTGAAATAAAAATTTCAATGAGTTTATTTGAAAAGCTACCAAAAGAAGTTTATCAAATAAGCTCGAGCTTTTTAAATAAGCTCGTCCTACCTAACGAAGCTTATTTAAATACAGAGAGCTTAAAAGCTAATCAAATAAGCTATAAACTAGCTTATTGGTCTACCAAACATAGCTCAAGTGTGGGTCGTTGCATCTCAATGGTCCACTTCATACAATGGCTGCGACTTTCTTTTTTTCTTATACCATTGGGGTTCGGCCCACCATTTAAAAAATATGGCTCCCAACAATCGACTCGATCTAGGTCGGGCCGGTCCAAGCCCACCCATCTCTGC